TGTATCTGAAGAGAGAAATGGTGGTGTATTCATATGCATAAAATAACAGTTGCTTGTATTGACTAAATCCCAGGTTGATGCTTTCTAAGATTGTAACATCAGTGTATTTAATGAATTTTCTCTCCTATGTCTTTTTCCCCCATTTATTTATTCTGTGTGCATGTGTGCCTGGGGAAGTGTGCAGGATGATTCTTTATGGGCCCATTGAACAGTTCAGATGACAGAGGAGACCAATAATGGAAAGGACATAGGGTTAGAGAGATGGTTCCGTGGTTCAAAGCACTTGTTGCTCTTACAGGGGACTCAGGTTCAATTCCCAGCACTCAAAGTCTGTAATTTCAATTCCAGAACATCTGACGCCCTCTCCTGGCCTTTGTGGGTACTACATGCAGGCAAAACACCATACACATAAAAGATTAAGTCTTCCTTTTGGGAGTGGGAGGGAAGGCTAAATAAAAAAGAATGGAAAGAATGAAAGCCCAGAGAATAATCCAAGATCCGGCTGAATGACAGTTCTGTTTCCCCCAGGGAGAATTACTTAGGCCTGTGTGCATTATAAGCTAGGTATCACATTCAGGGTAAATTGTTTGTTTGTTAGTTTGTTTATTGTGGGTCCTACGGCACACATGTGTAGGTCAGAGGACAACTAACAGGAGCCATTTTTCTCTTTCCTCCACGACATGAGTCCCAGGAACTGAATGCATATGGTCAGGCTTGGTAGCTGATGCCTTTACCTGTATCAGAAGCCGCATAGGCCGGGTAATTATTGCTTTCCATCTGATCTCTCCACTTGGCTGAGAACCCTTACACACGACGGGAACCAAAAGGCTGCTCAGGAAACGTTAAGCTAGAGGATAAATGGGGGGGGGGGGCAGTTGGGAATCTAAAGGCTGAAGGGGAGCAGAAAGATAAACCCAGGGAAGGCAACCAGGACCTTTAACTGTGCCAGTATCTCCCCGTCTGGAGATGGGAAGGTTAAGGTTAGCTGCTGAAGCTATGGCCATACTCTGAAGCCTCACATACCAGAAAGAGAAAAATAAATTCTACTTGGTAGACAGAAGGAACTTAAAGTTTTGTGACAGAAGAGGTCCCAGGAGATGTGCGCTTCCTTGACTAATCCGCACGGTCCTGAGTCTCTCTCTTCCCCTTTCAACGCATCCAATCCATCATGGGATGCAGACCTGCTTGAATGCCAGGCTAAGCACACCACACTGGAAGGCAAGCCTGTTGCATCTCCTCACATAAATGGTTTCTGGATTATCCACATGATTAATTCCACAAGCCATGAGCATAACTAATACAGAGGCTAAGGAAGCTGAGTAAGAGGCAAGGCTGGGCATGGTGGTGCACACTTCCGCACTGGGGAGGAAGGAGCAGGAAGACTACATGCCAGACAGTGAGATCCTGGCTCAAAAGAAAATAAACTGGGCCCTGTGGAGGCGGGGATTTCCCAGCTGCTTAGGAAGGCTGAAAAACCAGGGCCTGCCTGGGATACAGAATAAGTTTAGGCCACGCTGTGCAACTTAATGAGACTCCATTTCAATAAAAAAAAAAAGTAGAAAGGGGCCTTGAGGATGTAACTCAGTTGGTAGAGTATTCATCTGGTAGATGCATATCTGGCCCTAGGGGTTGATACCCACCACTGCATGCATAAAACCAAGAGTAACGATCTGGCGATCCAGCATGTAAATCAAGCACTCAGAAGGTAGAGTTTCAGAAGTTCAAGGTCATGCTAGGCTACACAGAGAGTTTGAGGCCAGCTTGAGCCATGGGATCAGGACTACATTGCTCCTGGTGGGTTGCTAGCCTTAAGTGAAGTTTCTTTTTCTTTAGAAGCCTGATATGACACTATATCTTAAAGTTAGAAAAGGAAAAAAAAAAAAGTGCTTGCCTAAAATGAACAAGGATCTGGGTTCATAACCATATCCCAGGACCACAAAAACAAACGAACAAACAAATATAAACAAACAATCACAATTTGTTTTTAAACACACAAAGGGTTTAATAGACATTCTCCAAAGAAAATATACAATGGCCAGTGCATATGGAAGGATGCTTAACAACATTAGTTACCAGAGAAATGCAAATCAAAAATCACAAGGAGATACTGTTTCCCACCCACTAGAATGCCTATGCTAAAAAAGACAGTAACGAGTGTTAACAAGGAGCTGGGGCAATTACATCACATGCTGCTGGCGGAAATGTACAATGGTATAGCCACTCTGGGGAAGAGCTGGCAGCTTCTCAAACGAGTAAATACAGAGTTACCATCAACTGCTACTACTCCTCCTTGTGACACTCCACATTTAGGTGGTTCCTAAAGGGACTAACAACCACCACACAGGACAGCCTTCAGGTACTGTGTTCCTTCACAGAGTACTTACTCCCTAATTCCAGACCCTCTGAACTATGCTTCATCCACTAAGGCCCCAGGTGTTTTTTCTTTCTTCACTAGTACTGCTCCATCGGGTCTAACATCCTCTCTACCCTCTTTGCCTCCACTGAGGACCACAAGGGGCTGCCTATCTTACGCAGGGACTCCCCTGACTACACTGAGTTCAAATACCTCTCTTAAAGCAAAAACAAATCAGTTCTTTTTTTAAAAAGGTTTCTCTTTTCCACTCAGAAGTGAAGAAAGCAACCAGCTCCTGAGAAGGTAACTGGCTTTTGTCATAGACATATGCATTCACATCTGATTCACCATTTCAGCTCTAGACCAACGTGACAAAAGGCTTCAAACTCTGAGTACATGAAGAACTGAAGAAAAGGTGGTATCTGAAATCTTAAGTGGTAAAGAGGTGTAACAGGACGCTTCTGATGAAAGGGAACCTCCAAGAAAGACCAGCGACTCACCAGGAGCAAATCGGCCCTGATGCCCTGGAGAAATAGCAAGATGTTATGGCTTTCTGGGCACACGTATCTCACATGGCACCTCTACACCTTACCGTAGACCAGAAGGAAGTAAGATAGCTAACTGACCTTCAAGGCTCACCTATCCAGGGCAGTGGCGCTCGAGATCCTCCTCGCACCTGTGTTCAGATTCATGTGGATCTTGCCTAAAGTCAATGCTTTTCCAGCTAGCACACCAAACTTTCTTAAAGTTAGCAAAGGGAAATAGTGACCACCATGCCCTCTTGCCCTCAGTCTTCCATCAGATGCTCAGGTCTTTATAGACTTATTACTTGATCATGAGAAAACCAAATCCCATATGCAATCCCAGGAACTGGTATGCACAGTGCGCGAACACACACACACACACAACCTTCTCCCAGTACATATTCAGGCTCTCTAGCAAGACCATACCCTCATCTAACCTTGGTAATGGCTGAGAGAGTAAAAGGAACAAAAGACCTGTCACTCAAGAACTGCCACTAACCAACAGAGCCTCATGGTGCTGGACAAGGAACTATATCTTACAGCAAGCACAGGCAAGCTACACTGAGCCCAAAGGCTTCAGTCTCATGAGTGAAATTAGGGACCCGAAGTTACTCATCTTGAGGCCTCTTCTATCAGCTCTCTGCAGACAGGATGCTTTCTAGTGAGAAGCAGGATGTCAAACAAAATCAAGGAATGACTCCCAGAAAGGGATGCAGGGTTCACAATTTGCTGACCCATTTTCCCTGGAGATGTCAGATGACCCCAGAAGCAGCAGGAAGAGGAACAAACTCCGCTCACTGCTGACCTCCAGCAGCATCTGGAGAGGTCTAAGGCATCACACTACCCTGCCAGGATACTCATTAACCCAGCGATGACACTGAAAAGGTCTAACGTGCCCAAGACTGAGAGGCCAACAGGACCTCACATACAAACGCACTCTTCTCTAAAGGACGCAGAGATCCGACACGCTGGCTTAGACGGCTGTTCCTCAATCTCTAGCCAAAGACCCCTCTAGGTCTTCTACCAAAGCAACAGAAAAATGAAGTCTTGCTGGCCCTGAGCCCCTGGGTCACTGTTTGGTCTTGTGGAGAATCTCAAGTGTTTGGAAAAGTCAGGGAGCCTAAAGAACGAAACCCACAGGAGACCAACCCTTCATTCTCCCCGTTCTAAACTTGTGGCTGGTGAAGCTGGCACCTAAGGTCCTTCCCTTCCTCTGTTTGCTCCCAGTGTAGGGATTCACAAAGAAACGGTGAGAAGGCAAGAAGCAAGCCGCTGAAAGAGAACAGATCCTTCACCAACGGCACATAAACAAAGTCAACCAGCTAACACTGTCCACATGCCCCTTTTCGGCAGAGGCTGCTGCACAACCCCAAGAGCACCTAGGACCCAAAGGACCCCTCATCTGGGACAGTATCACCGTTATCGCATCCTGGGAAACCATACACAGACGAGAAGCTCAATGTCTTTGAAACATCACAGAAGAACGGGGAAGATACATTATTTCTATAACCAAGTCTACACTCCCTCGGGCCTTGTGTTCACACTTATCCTTCATCCAAGGGGGTCCAAATCAAGTGTCTCTGGTTTAGAGAAGACTCTGCTTCTCCAGTTGGCACGTCTTCATGAAGAAGAAGAAGAAAAGGAAACCCAGAGAGGATTTCCACAGCCAGGGGTAAGGAGGCCTAGAAGATGGGAAACTTTGAACAGCCACACCAACCGAAGGACCACAAACAGTTATATTCAGACAAGCCAGTACCACTTGCCCTGTCAACTGAGCAATGATCTGGTAACAAGCTATAAGGGACAAGAGGAATAGCCATGCAACAAACACACTGAGGGTAGAAGCAGTGTCGTTGCAGCACCCGGGCCTTTCCTCGGAGCTCCGGGGTTGCACGGAGCCAGCATACGGACGCAGGAAGCCAGAAGGGCTGGAGCGAAGGGGAGACGGCATAGCATGGGGACACCAGGCCTCGCGTGGCGAACGGGGAGTGCACGCCCGGCCGGACAGCGTGCACGGGTGGGCGGGCATGCAAGTGGCTCGGTGGAGGGGTTGCAGGCGTCACCCGCGGGGCGAGCGTGGCGAGGCCGGAGGGAGTGGGGGCGCGCACGGGGAAGCTGGTTACCGTGTGGTTCACCCCCCACATCAGGACGCTGAGAATCGGCTCGCTGGCCCGGAATAGCTTCACTTTCTGGCACACGAAATGCTTCTTCTTGGTCTTGGTTTTGCTGGCGCTGAGCGGCGCCACCGCCACCGCCGTGGTGCTGGTGCAGTTGGACGACATGCCCGGGGCGGCGGCGGCGGCGGCGGCGAAAGGGGGGGCGGCGGAGACAGCGCACCAGCGAGCGGCCCCAGGCCTCCCCCGAACCGATCCCCACCCCCGCTGCCTCACGGAGCCATGGTCGCGCCCGTCCCGTTACCTCCCCACCCCGCCCCGGTGGTTCCGTCCGCCCCACGCCCCGCCCTCGCTGCGCCGCCCCGCCCCGCCCCGGGGAGCAGGCCAGCCCGTTCCTCACCCCGCCCCCGGGCGGCACCGCCCACTGGATCCCGGCTCTCCCCTCCCCGTCGAAATGGTACCGTCCGTCCCCCGGGCAATTGCGGCCGCCCCGCCCACTCCTCCTCCCTCGGCCTGACTGGAACCCGGCAGGGTTCACGCGCGGGAACGAGGAAGACAGGGAATGGACAGCCTCGAGGCACTCCACGAGAAGGGCTCCCTGCTCCGAGCCCCTCAAGGCCAGGGTCTGGCTTTGCTTCCACCTGAAGTACTAAAATGGCGGCAGCGCCACAGCTTCGGGAGGGGAAGGGCCGGCATGAGAAGAGGCTGGGACATACCATCCCCACCCCGGGGGACAGAGGAGTAACGCGGCAAAGGGAAAGGAAGTCCTGCCTAAAAACCAGGGACCGCCCCCTCGCTCCACCCAAGCGTGGATCTTCCCACTCCCCTGGGCCGACAGCGCGCCCCACCCGCGGGGCACGCCCCCTTTCCCCGGGGCCAATCAGAGGAGCAGACCGGGAATCCTAGGTTTTATGAATGGGCCGCGCGCCCACCCACCTGCCGCCTAGCCTCCTCTATACTGATGGTCAAGTTTAGACATTGCGGACGTGCATTGTAATAATCCTTTCATTCTTGCTCCAAGAAATCTTGAGTAAACTGGCCACGGTTTATTATGCAATTCCACTTGGACGAAAGGTCTCTGTATTCGACACAAAATCACAGGTTAACACTTGGGATATCAAGACTCAGTACCAGGCACATGGTCGGTCGCTCTACACAGTTACAAAAATAAATGTAGCCTTTATTACCAAGTAATAAAATAAAAGCCATAATTAACTAAAGCACAGGGCACCAGGATGAGGTGATTAAATGAATGTTACATTGTCTGGGGGCGACGGGACGACTGAGTTTTTAAGAATTACAGTGTCTGGAATTTTAGTGCTTAAAAAAATAAAAATCCAAACATATTTTAGGAGGAATTAAGAACTGGTAGAACAAGGAAATGGCTTAATGTATGAGTTAAGAGCACCTCTGAGGGCCACCTGGTCTGTAATCACAGCTCGAGGCTGAAACAGGAGCTCTACAGTTTAAGGTCAGCCTTGGCTAGGGTGAGCCTGTAGTCTGTTAAAGAGCACCTAGAAGTTCCCCGGGCAAATGAGGGCTTCTGGTGAAAACACAGAAAGGAATGGCAGTAAAGACATAGAAGTGGCCCCTTGAGTCTTGTCTTAGATTTTTAGTTCTTACAGGGTAAAAGATCGGCTAGGAAGCTGGGGGTGCTGGCCAGTCATTGCAGCCAGCACTCGGGAGGTAGAAGCAGGAGAGCCACCACCAGGCCACCCAGCCAGTATCACAAAGGGCCCATATCACAAAGCAGCAGCAGTAGCAGCTGTGTGGTCAGAGGATGGACGTTCAGGGTCACCTTCAGCTTACACAGTACATTCAAAGCTAGCCTGAGCTAGCCTCAACAGACAAACAAACAAACAAAAAAAATAGCCAGAAAACAAACAGCTTCCTCAGTATATTTTCTTTCAGGAGTCACAGGACATCCTGACAGCATGGGTCCTGATTCCTGCCCTACTGGTGCCCACTATGAGATTCTGAGGACCAGAGGAGGAGGTGTATCTTGGTAGGTGTGTCCTTCTTGAAGCCAGTACATACCTATAAATGCAATGTAACACATTTGTAGAGGACAAAGTCAAAAGGTTAGCTACCCCACAGCTAGATTCTGTCAGTAAGCCCGAAGCTCTCCTATGCCCCAAATCAGAGAGGAGAGTAAGCCAAGCTGCCTTACTGTGTTACTTTTCTGACAGTCATTGAACAAAATGACTTTTTAAAAGCAAATATGGAATTATACATTTGTAATACATTACACCATTACAGCTTAAAGCCCAGGTAGTTAGCAGTTCACTCAGGGCCTTTGGTTCTGTTTTCTCTTCCATCTTCTTTGTCACTCTCTTGGCTCTCCCTGCTGCTTGGCTATCCTGTCACATAATCTAAATAAAGTTAATGTTCATTTATCCAAGTAAGCACTATTCATCTGGGTGGCTATGGAGAGAGGCCTGTGGAAGTCTGTGCCACTCATTCAGGTGGGAGGGAAGAGGGGTGACAAGCATCCAAGCCTCCCAGGACCATCCACTAAAACATAGTCAAAACCCACAGTGCATCCCGCAGAAGTTCCTGAGGGTCCTGGAATCAGGTCACATCCATTGTTAAACGATGTGAAGTGTTTCAGGAGTCAGTGGACAAAGGGCACTTTGAACAGTGGTGGTTTTTCATCTGTACAGAAGCCATTTGAACTCTTATAAAGAGAATTTTAAGGAGTCAGCAGCCTCCCTGGCAAATTCAGGCAAACCAGTAAAAGAGACTGGTTTTCATCTTCTCATGAAGTTCTTCTCCAGAGCTACCGACGTCCGCTGTAGAGACTGGATGTTGCGCTTCACCCGGTCCTCCAAGGAGGAGGTCGAAGCACTCTCCAGCTTCATGCGGCTAGGGAAAGAAAGACAGGTGAGTGGAAAAAAGAACATTTTCAACTGGTCAACCCTGGCAGAATCAGAAGAAACAGGTTTGTAGCCAGAAAGCAACTGCAGAAATGCAAGCTCTTTTCAGCCCACATAGACAATTTTCAAAGGACTCCATCTGGAACCAGGGTTTTTAAATGTCCATAAGGGAAAACTCATCTGTTTTGGAAAACAAGTCAAGTTTCATTGGAAAAAGGTTTTCTGAGCCACAAATTTTTACTTAAAAGGAAGGCCAAAGAATTTCAGTGATTTGGGAAAAATACCAATTACTTCTTCCACGTCAAATAAAAATGCTATTATCTGGTTAGAAACTGGGAGCAGTGCCACAGTGATCCCAAGGCTGAGTTCTGAAGTCTTGGCACAGATGAGCAGCACCACCGACCCCAGCAGTGGGCTTGCTGCCACGTAACCTCATGGAGCCCATGCAGGTGGAGCCCAGGCATGAGGAACCACTTACTGGATGAACTTGCCGGACCGAGAGTCCAGCCTCTCCAGCCGGTGCTCCCGCTCGTCCTCCTTGGCATGCCGCTTGAGGGTGTTGATCCTCTCCTCCTCCCTCCATTTGGCATTTTCCATCATTTCCTGCCGTTTCCGCTCCAGTTCCTCCACTGAGAGTTTTCTGTTGAGCACAGAAATAATTCCAGGTTCTACCCATTCCCCAGCAAAATCAAACAGGACAGAGGCAGCTCGGCATGCAGGCAGGTCACAGGCTTGCCAGCTGGGGTCCCTTAAAAGGAGGAGCAATGCCATGCTAGGTGAGTTTCCTTCCTTCTGATGCCTCAGGCAGATGGTTCCAACCAAACCATGAAGACTTCAGTGAAGTATTTCATAATCACACTCAGTAATCTGTAGGATAATTATTTTAAAACAACTACAAAATAGACTGAGAGCTAAGTAGGAACCTAACCTTATAACAAGTTTGCCTCCACCACTAAGAACTTACAGAACAAAGGACTGGGCCATCCACGTGATTGTTGCTACTTCACACTCCGTAAGAGATGCTTACAAACCCAAGGATAAAAACAAAAGCCATGGCTACCAGTTAAGACTGGCTCAAGAGTACTTGCTGTGCAAGGCTGAGGTTCTGAGTTCAAAGCCACAGCACCCCTGTAAAAGCTGGGCATAGCCACACATGCCTGGAACCTTACCATTAATGGGCAAAACCAGGCAAATCCCAGGAACTGGCTGGCCGTTTAGTTTCACTAAATTACTGAGCTCCAGATTCAGTGAGAAACCCAGCTCAGGGAATGATAAGGCAGAGCCCAGTGTCCTCCTCTGGTCTCAGTATGTGTGAGTAGGGGTGTACATGACACGTACATTCATGGATACAACCCGGGAATGTAAAGTGCACTCTGGGATGAAGCTGGATGCCAGCAAACTGACTTGACTTGACCTCAGAATATAATAGGTAGATCGCCTTGCCTGGCATTCATCCTAAATGAAGTTAGAACAAGAAAAGGAAGCGAAGCCGGGCGGTGGTGGCGCACGCCTTTAATCCCAGCACTTGGGAGGCAGAGGCAGGCGGATTTCTGAGTTCGAGGCCAGCCTGGTCTACAGAGTGAGTTCCAGGACAGCCAGGGCTATACAGAGAAACCCTGTCTCGAAAAACCAAAAAAAAAAAAAAAAAAAAAAAAAAAGAAAAGGAAGCGATGAGCCAGATTAGTCACCACCTAACCATGTCAGACACCCAAATCCACTGCTGCTAAAATAGGGATGTTACAGTTTATACACAGATAGCTTATGATACACAGACTTTAAAGGGAAAAATGACAGAGTTCTGTTGTTTTAAAAAGTGCCCATTTGGAGAAACAAACTAAAATACTAAAACCTGACATTTAGTTATCCATGGTAACTATGCTTCCTGTCAAAAACACTAAGCTGGCTAGCCAAGCAGGGTGGCAAACCCCTTTAATCCCAGCACTCAGGAGCTGGAAACAGGCACTTCTGTGAGTTCAAGGCTTCCCTGGTCTATATAGCAAGGGCCAAGACAACCAGGGCTACACAGAGAAACCCTGTCTCAAAAACAAAACAACAGAGACAAAACCACTTCCTAACTAAGAACGGTGGCACTTACCCATAGTTACACAACTTGGGAAGTGGAGGCAGGAGGACAAGGAGTTTGTTTGTGTGAGGCCTCATCTCAAAAACAAACAAAAATCCCTAAAACACAGTTCCACTAAATAAATATATAAAACTGACTACACAGGAGGACTGCCGAGAATTCCAGGCCAGCTGTGTGAGCACATGTGTGTGCACACGTGTACATGGTGTACATGTGGAAGACCACGCCAATGCCAGATGTCACCCCATGCTCCACCATATATTTGGAGACAGGTCTCTCACTGAACCGGGAGCTCATCACTTCAGTCAGACGGCTAACCAGCCCAGGGAGCCACTGAGGCAGCAGCCCTTTATACCCAGTGAGCTATCTCTCTAGTCCTATCTTTGTTTATAATCTTTTTATTAAATGTGTGTGGGTGAGTGGGGAGGTGTACCACAGGGCATATGTAAAGGTCAGAGGACAACTTGTTCTCTTTTTCCTCTCTATGGGTGTTGGTGACCGAACCTAGGATGCCAGCCTTGGCAGCAAGGTTTTACCACTAAGCCATCTGGCCAGCCAGATTTTGTCTGTTCAGTGTGCCTTATGAGTAAAAGCTGACCAGAGGGTGTGGCTATCGGTGTCCACACCTGTAAACACATCACTTGAGAAGCTGAGGTAGGAGGATCACCACAAGCTCAAAGTCAGCCTAGTTCACAATGTAAGACCCAGTATAAAACCGAGCTGGGCGGGACTAGGGATGTAGTTCAGTTGGAAGAGTGTTTGCTCTGAATGAACAAGGGTCTGCTGCCCCCAACACCACATAAACTGGGCGCAGTGGCATATGCCGTCAATCTTAGCACTCAGGAGACGGAGGCAGACTGACCGAGGGTTGCCCTTGATTATACACTGAATTTGAGGCCAGCAGCCTGGGATACATGAGACTATGTTTGAAAAAAAATCAGAGGACTAAAGGAAACCAGATATAATACCAATTTCCCTGCTGCAAGCTGCCTGTAGACGTAGCCTTATGAAATCTGAACTGAGCAGGGTGCTGACTTACCTGGTGTATCCAGAAGCATGCCGCCTCTGGTAGACCTCCTTTTTAGGTGATGGGCTCTCTCTCTCTTTTCTGTTTACCTTAGAGGTGTGCCTGTAATAGACCCAGAGGAAAAGCCCTTTCATGTGGGGGATTATTAGTATACCCTGAACCAATGGAACTCCCTTAAAAGTATAATCCAGGCTAGGGCCACCAAGATGGCTCAGTGGGGTAAAGGCACCTGCCACCAAGCCTGATATCCTGATTTCAGTCTCTAAGAATCCATATGGCAGAGGTCAGAGCCAACTCCCTCACTGTTCTCTGACTTCCACAAACATGCAGTGACACAAAGGTGCGTGCATGCACACACGTGCGCACACACACACAAATAAATAAGGAATTTTTAACTATAATCAAGGGCCTCAGCAGTTAAAATTTCCTGCTAGATAAGTATGCAGACCAGAGCTCAGATCTCAGCACCCAGATAACAAATCAGGGCCACCCTGCACATGCCTGTAACCCAGCACCGAATGGGAAGGAGGCAGGAAGATGTCCGGGTTTGAAGGCTTCCTGACAAAAGGAAGAACAGTGAGCTCTAGGGTTAGGGGGCAGCTGCCTCCATGGAACAAGGTGGAGAGTGGCAGATGGCTTCTTTCGTCCTCCATACATGCACAAGTATGTGCACCCGCCCTCACACATGTGCATTCATCACACATATACACCATACACACAGAAAGAGAATATATAACCCAAAAGCAGAGGAAATTCTGCCAGTACATTATAGTCCTCCAAGTGCAATTCATTGTGACTGCACCGAGACTACACTGTGACTGCACCGAGACTACACTGTGACTGCACCGTGACTGCACTGTGACTGCACCGTGACTGCACCGTGACTGCTCTGTGACTGCGCCGTGACTGCGCCGTGACTGCACCGTGACTGCACCGTGACTGCACCGTGACTGCACCGTGACTGCTCTGTGACTGCTCTGTGACTGCACCGTGACTGCTCTGTGACTGCACCGTGACTGCTCTGTGACTGCTCTGTGACTGCACCGTGACTGCACCGTGACTGCACCGTGACTGCACCGTGACTGCACCGTGACTGCTCCGTGACTGCTCTGTGACTGCACCGTGACTGCTCCGTGACTGCACCGTGACTGCACCGTGACTGCACCGTGACTGCACCGTGACTGCTCCGTGACTGCTCTGTGACTGCACCGTGACTGCTCCGTGACTGCACCGTGACTGCACCGTG